AGGAAGGAAGGAAGGAAGGAAGGAAGGAAGGAAGGAAGGAAGGAAAGAGGGAGGGAAGGAAGTCAGTCTAAACATATCTGAACTGTGGCCCTAGCTCCGTCGTTCTGAAATGATGCTTTTTACTGGCTGACGTCTTGGCCGTATCTCTCTGGTGCACCTTTTGGAACCGTGTTTCAGCTGATCGCCGTGAATCGTTTTCTTCTGCAGCAGTGTCCTCTCTGGCAGTTATCGTTCAGAGGAGAATCGAGGATTTAATACTGGTTCTTCTTCATGTCGCTGCTGGTGCTGCTGTTGTTGTTGTTGTTGTGAGGTGCTGTCTAGTCGGCCACAGCCCATAGTTACCGTGTGAGAGACAGACCCGAGCCCTGCCCCGTCCCGTCACCTCTGACGCACGTGAGCCCATTGCTACGGTCACTGTGTCAGGTCCATCTCCTTGAGGGGCTGCCCCTCCTCCACTGACCCTCCACATGTCCAGCCGTGATGTCTCTCTCCAAAGGTCAGTCCTTCCTGACAAAACCCCTGAAGTTTAGGAGAGAAGTTTCAGCCTTTGCGTCTGAACAGTCCCCTGGCTGTCACTTCCTCCACGACAGACCTGGTCATTCTCGGGCAGCTGGTGGGAGGCTCAGCACTGCCCCAGCACCACAGCTCGGACATATCGTGCCCCTGTCCACCTTGTTGATTGTCCAGCTCTCAGAGCGTGTTAGGTGGCTCTGAGTCTCACAGCAGTGTCCTGTGAGCCACGGCTGTGGACCTGGCCTGGCCTGACGGTCCTCGGGGTGGCCCTCAGGGTGGCCCTCGGGGTCTCAGGTGTGTTTGATGTAAAACCTTAGTCTTCACATGTGTGCGTTCTCTCTCTCTCCAGGTCTCAGAAAGCTGACCCTCCCAGCGAAGGGTACATCTTGGAGTTAGATTGCTGTTCCTCCCCAGGCCCCCTGACAGAGCAGAAGGTCATCCCAGAGTTCATCAAGAAGGTAAGGACAGCTGTCAGGAGGCATCGGCCAGGCTCCCAGGACAGTCACCCCAGGAGCTCGCGTCATGGGGAGCAGCCCTTCCACCGTGCCCCAACCCAGCAGCCTGCAGGGGACCCTGTCTGTGGCCTGGGGTGATTCACAGCCCCCAGCCCACTGCTGGGCTCCTCTCACAACCCAGAGACACAAGCCCCAGGCCCCCCCTCCTCACCCCCTCCGCATCCCCACACTCACCCCTCCTCGGGGAACAGGCCCCCGTGGCTGTCAGCACCTCGTGGCCCCAGGGACGATCACGCATCGTTTTCAGGAAGTGTGTTTTCTTCCCTCAGGTGTGCCCGGTCTGAGGTCTTGTGCCTAATGCAGGGTTTGTTTGAGCTTCAGTGTGACGGCTTTTATGGGAAAGGGTGTCCTTGCCCCAGAACCAGCTGGTTCTCCGTTCATTGTTCATTGTTTATCTCGTTCTACCAGATCTGGCCTTCCAAAATAATCAACAAATTCCTGTCCCGTGCAGGTGATTGTCTTTGCCTGAGGTCTAATCAGCCAGTTAGTGAGTTCATTAATAAATATTGTTGACTGGTAATTTTGGGCTAGAAATAGCACTAAACGCTGGGACCCAAGCCTCTGACCTTGTGTCTTCAGAGTGGGAGGGCCTAACAAAATAGCTTGTCCTTGACCTTGTGTCCTCAGGGAGGGAGGGCCGAACCGAGGATTTGACTTCCATAGAGTCCATTCTGACTCCCTGGTGACCCTGGAGGGCGCAGTGGAACTGCCCCGGCAGGTTCTGAGGGTGTCCAGGAGAAAGAGTACCCCCAAGGCTGCTCGTTGGAAGGAGAGATGCTGAAATCTGCTCTCACATCCGGTGGGCATGTTGTTAGGAGGGCCAGTCCTTGGGAAAGGACGTCATGCTTGGAAAGGTAGTGCAGTGGCGTGTGTGGACAGTGACTGGAGCGGTGGGCTCTGGTGTGGCAGAGATGATGAGAAAGACACAGGACAGGGCAGGTCAGATCCCAGGTTCATGGTCACGGTGAGTCGTGATCAGCTCAAAGGCATCTAACCACAGCAGCAGTGATCCATTTTTAGAAGTCCGTCCCCGTTCGCCAGGCTTTTCCTCATAGTGTGTCCTGGTTTGGAAGGTCCACTTAAATCTGTTCAGCGTCACAGCAGCCTGCAAGCCTCCACTGGCCAGCAGGCGACGGCCATGCTCAAGGGGCATTGGCGGGAACTGAACCTCGTTATCCACCAGTAGATATTGTCCAGTCTCTGTGGACCAGGAAGTGTTATTTGAAAACCACAGAGGCCACAGAATGATGAGCTGTGAAGCAGGGCGATGTGATGAGCTTTCAAGGATGTGATGGAAAAGAAAAATACTGAGGCGAGAAAAAACAATTGAAAAGTATATGATTAAAAAATACAAATGTGGGGAAGGGTAGAGAAAATAGTGCAACAATGAATGAATGGAAACCCAAAATCTCTGTACATGTTCATTAAAATTAATAAAATTTAATAAAAAAAAGAAATACAAATGACTGAGTAACTGAAATGTGATGATGGCTTGTGATGGTTATTTTGCTAATCAGCTGAGTGAATCATTGACATCATCTTGCTATTTGTTCAAGAATTCTGATTATTTTTTAAAAAATATTTTTAGTTAATTTATTATTATTATTAATTTTAATGAAAATTTACAGAGACTTTGGGTTTCCATTCATTTGTTGTTGTACTTTTCTCCCTGCCCGCCAAGCCCCCAATTTGCTTTTCTTTTTGAAAAGTAGAAGAAAAAATTATTTCATTATTATTCAGTCCCTGCCCCCCAAGTCCGCTCCACTGTGCAGCCTTCACTCTGGACTCCTGTCATGACAATAATACCTAATCACATATCCCTTTTAAACAGTTCTCTCCCTCATCTGTTTCAATGCAGTGTACATAATTTATCCCATTTTTCTCAGTCTCCCCTCAACCCCAGTGTTAGTCCTATTTTATAAGAGTGGCACTATTTATAAGAGTGGCAGTATTTGTCTTTTTGTGACTGAGATATTTCACTCAGCATAATGTCCTCCAGGATCACCCATTTTGCATAATATTTCATAAGTTCTTTCTTGTTTTTCAATGCAGCGTAGTATTCCATTGTGTGAATATACCAGAGTTGCTCTATCCATTCGTTTACTGATGGGCACTTGGGTTGTTTCCAACCCTCTGCTATTCTGAGTTTAACGTTTGGAATGTCCCACACTTTAAAGCCCGTCACGGCACCCTCTCTACCAACCACATTCACTGCTGTCTTCAAATAAAAATCCAGACAGGAGACAGCTCAGCTGTCAGGGAGCGGAGATTTCTGACCAGGGTTTGTCTCCTGGTGACGCTGGGAATCTCTGCCCTCTGTGCCTCTAAGAGGTGGTGGAGGGCGGTGGCCACAGGGTGGGCAGAACTTCCTGTTTTCTGTCTGTCCTTGCGCCCTCGGTGGGCCTGGAAGGACAGGCATTTCTGAGACCACCAGGCGTGGCTTTTCCTGTGGACCAGCACCGTGGTGATTGGGAGAATCGGGACAGAAGTGAGGCTGGTCCCCATCTTCTACCCCGTCTGCTGTGGGCCTTGATGTGTGGACAGCAGAGGCACCCAGTGACCCACCCGGGTCCACAGTGACACCCCCTGATGGCAGAACCACACACAGGTGTAAATTTTTTCTGTCACCACACAGGGAAGAGACCTGGGGAGGAATATACTGACCAGGAGTATATGAAACGCTGCGTGTGGCTTCGTGGTTAATGTGTACCGAACAGCGTGGTCCCCAGTGCGGTGTGTGGTGGTGACACTTGTTAATTGCTACTCTCTCGGCCGAGGTGACGTTGTGTCACCACCTGCTGGGCTTGCAGCCTCACTTCCACCCGGGTCGTTACTCTGTGTGCGCTGTGGCTCCTGCCCCGGTGACAAGCAGATCTGTCTTGAGATGAGATGTAATTAACTCGTTTTGTCATTGTACCCTGTGCCGGGCACCTCATACTCTTCCCTTAAGGACGAGGCCCCGGTATTACTGTTTCCCTGGATCCTTTCCATCAGCAGAACCTTGTAGATGGAGGACCTGGGTGAGGAAGGGAGGGGATGTCGTGATTTCTCATGGCAAGGAAAAATAAACTCCTTTCTCTATGTCAGGTAAGATTAGCTGAGGATGCCGTACTTCTCAGGCAGGAGGGTACGAGGAAGGTGCTGTCATTCCAGGGTGGCCTGGCCATGCCCCTGAGAGTGTTTGCTGGGCAGGTTGAATCTCCTGCTTTTGCTCCAGCTGGCCCTTGATAGACACCGCTTACAGTGAAGCACGGAACTTAAACAGCAGTGTTCCGGCCGGCGCGGGAGAGAATGGATTCTCCAGGTTCTGGAGAGATGAACGCTCCAGAGATGAGGGTTCCAGAGCCACAAACCACGTGGCTCCTTGGAGGCAAAGGCCAGCCGGCCAAGGGAGTCTGGGGCCGGCCCTGTGTGGCCAGCCGGCTGAGGGGTCCTCGGGAACTCCCTCCGTTCAGAGTTCCCAGAGGGCCGTGAAGAAGACAGCACTAAAGGATGAAGGGTCTTCATGTTTGTTTACGCCGTGTTCTTGGGAGGGTGCTTCTGCGTTTGAAAAGCCCTTTACCGGTTTTTGGAGCTGTGGTTATGTGCTATTGAGTTGACCGTGACTCATGGTGACCCTGTGCACAGCATCTCTGAATCTTGCACCCTCCTGACCAGTCTCACTGTCTCCCGCACACCTACCCCGGTTACCCCAGTGACTGTGTCAGTGCACCTTATCCAGGATCTTCCTCTCCTGTCCCTCGACTCTTCCAAGCATGACGTCCTCCTACAAAGACTGATCCCTCCAGGCTGCGTGCCCAAAGTATGTGAGTTTTTGTTGTTATGTGCCGTCGAGTCACTTGCGACTCAGAGCGACCCCGTGTACAACAGCCCTAAACCCTGCTCTATCCTGAGCCAATCGCACCATCTCTGACACACCTGCCCCCATTACCCCAGTCACTGAATCAGTCCATCTCATCGAGTGTCTTCCTCTACTGCTCTGTCCCTCCACCCTCCCAAGCATGACGTCCCTCACCAAGGACAGGTCCCTCCTTGCAAGTATGTGAGACGGAATATAAAAACCCTTGCCTCCAAGAAGCAACTTGGTCACACCCTCTCCAGGACAGATCTGTTTGTCCTGTTGGCATCTGTGGTATCTTCAATACTCTTCTCCAGAACCACGACTCAAAGACATCCGTTCTCCTTCTGTCGTCATTGGTCATTGTCCAGCTCTCTGATGCATAGCAATTAATTGTGAAGACCATGAATTGGATCAGGCACACCTTAGTCTCTAGACTGAATCCTCGCCCTTCAGCACTCTGGAGAGGTCCCTGACAGCAGATTTACCTAATGCAATTCATCTTTTGATTTCCTGACTTCTGGTGCCAAGAGTGTTGATTGTGGAACCGAGCAAGACGAAATTGTTAACAATCTCAATCTTTTCTCCATCTATCACAGTGCTGCCTCTTTGTCCAGTGGTGAAAATCTTTGTTTTCTTGATGTTGAGCTTCAATCCTTTTTGAAGATTACTGTCCTTGATCCTCTGAAGCTAATGCTTCAGGCCCTCCTCAGTTTTAGCAAGTGAGGCTGTATCATCTGCATAGTGTAGGTTTTTGATGAGTCTTCCTCCAGTCCTGATGCCACAGTACTCCTCATAAAGTGTAGCCTCTCGAATGATCTGTTCTGCGTATAGACTGAAAAGGTATGGAGACAGAACACATCCCTAACATACTCTTTTTCTTATTTTGAACCATGCAGAATAATCTCTCCTATTTTCCTATTTATTCTTCTTAATCACTCTGCATATAAGGCCAGGCACACAGAGTTGTAACAAGTCCTGAACGAGTCTCATGCCCCATCACAGTGTCTCTCTTCCTCGGAAACGCAGCTGTGTGTTCTCCAGGCCTCATCGGGCCTCCAGCAAAAGGGACGTGAGGAGTGGGCAGATTTGAAAGTCCCTCCTC